GTTGGATAGCTCTGAGGAACGCTCTAAGCGCGATCTACATCGTATGAGACCGTCGGGGTCCATGACCGGATTGTACTGATACAATACGCTCGTACGCCTGACGTTTTTGCATTGATTTTCTGTCTCCTCCTTAAAATATTTTTCTTGGATTAGTCGGAGTAGAGATGTTTTGGCCCTGAGCAATTCTTCGGCATCGAATTCGACACCCTGTTTTTGCGCGGGTTTCCGTTGGAAACTGATTCCCTGAGCAACTCGATCTCTTATGTCCTGTGCCTTCGTCACGAGTCTCTGCATGAGAGCCCAAAAGCGAACGGCTTTGAGCCAAGAAGAAAACTTATTCTCGAAGAATATTTCCTCTGTGGCCGGTGGATTGGCCGATGTGGCTGCCATGCAGGAGACATTCTGTCGGCGTTCCGGATCGAATTGTTTTCCTGATGTGTCTCCGAAGACAATGTTCGCGGGTGCGCGCTCGACGTCTGACGTCAGCGATTCCAACCACTGAGGTCCCTTTAGCCATAGTGATCTGTTGTGATCGGAAGAGAGGTCTGCTCCTCTTGAAATGAGGTCGGCTGGATTTTCCTCTGATTTCACGTATTTCCAGACGGTCTGGCCGACGAGAGTGTGGATACGCCGGATTCTGTTGGCTACATATGGTTTCCAGCGCTCCGGTTCCGAGTTTACCCATCCTAGGACGCTCGAATTATCGGTGTATAGATGGGCCGAGTCGATCTGTATGTCCATGAGACTTTTGACTGATGATAGCAGTCGGCTGGCGAGAAGCGCGCCCAAAAGCTCTAGGCGGTGGATCGACATTGGCTTGACCGGACATACTTTAGCTTTCGCCATAACGAAATGGGTAATCGGTTTCGTATTTCCAGAGCTCTCTCGGAGGTAGATGACGCAGCCGTATGCATTCAAGCTTGCATCGGAGAACACGTGGAGTTCTCTGCGCGACTTGTCGCCTGTATATGAGAGCATGTGGCGCGAGATTGACACTTTGTCCTTGTTGAGCAAATCCGTGAATCTCGCGTATTCTTCCGCGTGCGGCCCCTCTAAGGCTAAGTCCCATCCGATCTTCGATTTCCATAGTTTCTGAAGCAATATTTTGGCGTTTATGGTTGTCGGACCCATAATTCCCAATGGATCGAAGATTTGGGCGAGTCCTCTGAGGAGTTTTCTTTTTGAAGGTGTTCCTGATTGGAGCTCGTTGATGGCCTTATTGGTTGGCACCGATAAAAGATCCATTTGCTGGTTCCAAGGGATCCCTAAGAATTTGCCGTCTAATTGGCCGGTGGATATTGATGGGTCCTTGACCGGTGAGTGCTCCTTGATGAATTCTCCCAGCTCTGTGCTGTTTGACGCCCATTTCTTGAGGGGCATGTGCGCTTCCTGGAAGATGTCGAATAGGAGCGAAATTTTGTATTTCGCGTCCTCGAGGTTGTCACTTCCTAGACAAATGTCATCCATATAGAAGGTGTCGATAATCTCTTGGATGAATTTCTTGTCCTTGGGGTCTATTGATTGTGCGTACTCCAGGTGAGAACGCACCCCTTGGCAATGTAGAAATGGGGAGCAGACTAGTCCGAAGTCTAGTCTGGTCGCCCAGAATTCTTTCACTGGGGCTGACTCGTTGGTTGATATTCCCAATGGCCAAAGGAATCGTAGGAAGGTGCGATCCTCTGGGGCAATCCTGAATTGTTGGAAAGCTTTTTCTATGTCCGCCGCTACGGCGTATCTGTACTGGCGAAACTTCAGTATCACTTTGATTAAGTTGGGGAGTAGATTTGGTCCCTGATGAAGTACGTCATTGAGACCAGCTTCGTTTGATCGACGGGCGCTCGCGTCCTTGACAACTCGGGTTTTCAAACCCAGGGGAGATTCCGGGTTCGCCTTGAATACTGCCTGGATTGGCAGGTAGTGAGCGAGCTGGTCGCGTGACCTTGGTTGAGCTGGCTCTGCGAATCCCGCGTTGATGTAGTTTTTGATTTCTTCATCAACTGCCCTGAGCTTGACTGGGTTTCCTTGAGTTCCTTAGGAACGAGTACAGGCGTGACCTAGAGAGATTCTCGTTATCTCCTAGAGATCTGATATTATCTCTGAATGGTAGTCGGAGTACATATCGACCTGTGGGGTCCCTGACTGTCGTTTTCTTGAAGTGATCGATCAGGGCTTTCGTGAGGTTGTCTTCCTCTTCCTTGAGCTCGTTGCCGATGTCTTCGAGACCTAGGTCTTCTGATAGCCATAGGCATTCGATGTCCTTCTTGGTGTTTTTCGACACCGTGCACTCTGGGAGCTCGTCCTCTGAGAGACTCATGGGTCCGGTAGGGGAGAGGGCGGCGTCACTGAGACCTACTGGTGAGCTCGGTTGCGCCAAGGCGAACCCGCAGAATTTCGGCAATGGACTGTGGGTCCGCGATGCTCCCTCAGAGCCGCCGAATATCCATCCGAAGATTGTTTCGAACGCGAATATTCGGTTCAGCGTCTTTGGGTTCGCGAAGCCTATCTCCGACAAGTTCCTTACTCCCAGCAAGATGTCGACGTACTCAGACTCGCCGATCTCGACTTGGTCGGCTGCGGGGAAGAGTCCCAGGTTGTCCCTCAGGATCGGGAATTTGGTGCGGGAGATGCACTTCAATTCGATTGCACTGAGCCTGAGAGATCTGTTGGGGTCGTATCTGCTCCTGAGCACGATGTCATGCACTCCGCAGTTATGGATATTGGTGACCTGGCCCCCTGCTGTGGCCATCGCCATGTCGAGGCGGGTTGTCGGTCGGGAGTTAAGTTTTCTCGCCATCGCCTCCGTGATGTGTGAGGATTCCGATCCTGGATCTATGAGTATGCGGCACACACTGCTGGTCGAGTCGCTCTCGGCGATAACATGAGCTGTCCACAGGAAGGTTGATTCTTCCCTGGGATCTGCGCTGTGGTTAACGGAGGTGACTCGCGTGGTAGGCTCGTTCTGGTTGATGGGAGCCTT